TTCTCTTCACCCCCAGTGAGGCAGGTGGCAAGAGAATCTCCTGGAGAGACTACCAGGTGCTTACTCCAAAGAATGATGCTGGTTGACCTGCAAAAATGTAAAGGCCCACCCCATACGGCTACTGAAGTACTGGTACCAAGGATTTTCAGGAAAACTTGACATGTATCTCCATGATAAAGACTTAATCTAGGTGGACTACTCTTATACCAGGGTGAGGAAAGCTATATAAGCTACAAGCTGTACTTGCATAAAAAAATGGGTCTAGGGGTTAACTTCGCTGAGCATAACACGGACATCCCGTGTTTAAGCAAGCTAGAAGGACCATTAACAGGAATCAGCCTGAGAAGGCTGCTTGACAAGCACATGAAACCCCAGGGTTTCTCATCAATCAGATGAGAAATAGCAGAATGCATGTGTATGTGTGTCTGCCTGTGGTTCCTGGCACAGAGATCCTAAAACTGTTGAAATTTCATGGGTGACAGAGGATGGTCACCAGAAAGACCAAGACATGATTAGAAGTTTGAAACTTTCAACTCTACTTCCCATTCTCCAAAGAGGGGCTGGAAATAAAGTTAATGACTGGTCATATATATGCAGTGAAGCCTCCATAAAAATCTCCAAAGTACAGGTTCGGGAAGCTTCCAGGCTGGTGGCACATGAAGGTGCTAGGAGAGCAGTGCCCTCAAAGACAGCGTGGAAGCTCTGCACCTCTTCTCACACACCTTTCCCTAATGCAGCTCTTCCACCTGAATGTTCACCTGTATCCTTTATCATATCCTTCCAGAATAAATGGGTAAACAGTGTGTAAACAGCTCTGTGAGCCATTCTAGCAACTAACTGAACCCAAGGAGGGGACTGTTTAAACCCCAATCTATAGCTGGTCAGTCATGAGTTCAGGTGACAACCTGGGACTTGTGACTGGCATATGAAGTGGGGAGGGGAACAGACCTGTGGGACTGAGGCCTTAAGATGTGGAATCTGACATTAATTGCAGGTAGACAGTGGAGACTGGATAACTCCAGAATTGAACTGGATTCTAGGATACCTAACTGGTGTTGTAGAGAATTGTTTGGTGTGGGGGGGGTCTGTTGTTAGAAATGTTCCGAGTGTGGTGACAGTGTAAGAAGTAAAGGAGAGTCACACAGGAGATGTGAGTCTTCCTGCCCACCAGGACACACACTTAGGACATGCTCGTCTATATATCCTGCTCTTTAGGAAAGCAAAAGTTTTTAAAAGCTAAAATTGGAAATGACCCAAATGTTTGTGACCTACTGAATGGGTAACCATATTGTATGCCCATACACAGAAAACTACTTGGCATTAAAAAGAACTAATCTCCTGATAGATACAACAGAAGAATGAATTTCAAAAGCATTAGACTAAGTGAAAGGAGCCAGAAAGACAAGACTACATACGACATGATTCCTAACTAATGAAAATCTAGAGAGGCAAAACTAGATTAGTTTTGAAAGCAGATTAGTCATTGCCCGTGGCTGAGAAAACTGACTGAAGCAGCGCACAGTGGTCTCCTTAGGGGTAACGAAGATGTTGGGTTACATGTATGTTTTGATGGTTACATAATTGTACTTCTCAAAATTCATCAAATTGTAAACTTAAACTTAAAAAAAGAGATAGGTACAATTCTATATCCTGAGGATTTAAAGAGCAAGAAACCCAAGAAAATTGGAAAATACCTACTTAAAAAAATTCTGATCCCCCTCCAAAATTGTTACTGATAAGAAACACATCAAGAGGTACCTAAAGAAAAGTTAATTACTATGGCCTCAACTTTCCTGTAATTCAAATGATAAAAAGACAAGTATGGCATAAAAAAGGACATACAATAAAAGATGACTGCAAGAAGAACATCAAAAAGGTAATAGCAATTAGGATTTAAAATTACACTGTCAACCAGATCCAATTAACACCAAATAATGAATCTTGTGTTAAGATAAGGCAAAACTTCTAAAGGTATCCTACAAAGTTCTGTTTGGCCCTATTCTGTTCAATATTTATCCAATTAAAAATAAAGACATAGAAAGAATGCTTACTTTATATATGATATAAATGGAAATAAGAGTTCTGAAAGGATCCATACACTAAAAAGATGAGCTGTATGAACAGGGTAAATTTCATAAGGATAAACATTAGACTTAAAAGAATCAAGTGCACAGATAAGGAAATCTGAGCCTAAAAGCACTTCAGATAATAATAACCAAGTAGCACTTAAGGCATTGCTCAAAGGAACTTACATACATTTATTCATTCAGGAAGCTATCTAGTGAACACCTACTTCATGACACTCTCTAAGCATCACAGATCTAACAGTGAAGAAAACAGACATGAAGCTTTCATCATACTAGTGGAAGACAAACGAAAAACAAGATGAATAACTAATAAATGAAATGGATAAAACAAAAGAGAAAGTTGACAGAGATCCTGTGCACATGTATGATTATTAAATAGGATGGTCAGAAAAGGCCTCACTGTGAAGGCAGCTTTTGAGCAACTGAAAGGGGAAGTAATGAATCCTTACAGACATCTGCAGAAAGAGTGTTCCAGGCAGTATGGGCAAAGCATTTGGGGTCAAGTATGCCCAACATGAGCAATAAGGTCAGTGTGGCTGAGCCTTCTGGGGAGACAGTCAAAAAAGCAACAGGATGGGAACCCCCTGGCAGTTCAGTGGTTAGGACTCAGCGTTTCCACTGCAGGGGTCCCACAGGTTGGAGCTCTGGTCAAGGAACTTAGATCCTGCATGCCTAAGTGAGGCGCCTAAAGAAAAAGAAGCTACAGGGTGGGAAAGGTAAATATAGCGAAGTACCTTGCAGGCCATCAAGAGGACTCTGGCTTTTACCCCTAGTGCCATGGGAAGCTGTGGAGAGTTTTCAGCAGAGGTGTGGTATGATTTGACTTAAGATTTCTAAATAATTATTCTTGTCACTTCTAGATACATTTAGAAGGTAAAGACACGTTATATGCTCATGTACTGAGTGGACAAAAGGATAACTATATGTGGCTATTTAATTAAAATTAGAATTAAAAAGTCCAATTTTTGAATCGCACTAGCTGCAATTCCAGTCCTCAGTAGCCCCTAAGGTTTTTGTATGATGTCATGTTGCAAACACAGAGCATTTCCATGGAACATTCCCACCACCACAGAAAGTTCTCTTGGGTAGTGCTACTATACACAGGTAAAGCTAAAATAAGGCTGGATGTGTTTCTTAAACCGTGAAACAATTAGTTTATTATTTCTGAAATTAGTGCTTTAAAACAACATGCTAACAAACTTTATTCCTGGAGTCAGATGATGATGAAGGCATATATAGTTTTTTCTCTTGCCCTCCAAATAATTGACTGGTCGAGTTGGCTGCTAATCAAAACTATGAAAAAAAAACGAGTATTTCAGTTTAAGAGAAGGAACTTAATTTACTCAGTTGATGCCCTTTTGCTCAGTTTGGGAAATCAGCATGGCACTGCTGACAGTGACTTCCAGAGTTCTGTGGGCCAGCTGCAGCATGCATCTATAATAATGATGATAATAATAATGGTAACTAACCCTCACTGCATTGCCCACTATATGTTTTTAAAGAGTGCCAATCAGAATATAGCACATATCTTCAGATGAAGTCTATAAAGTGCTAAATATAGTTAGACTAATACCTCCTTTCATTTTGACCTCATCCATTTCTTTACATAGCCGATATTCCATTAGCTTTTTGGACAGTGATACACTGTTGATTTATGCAGAGTATGAAGTCCTCCAAAAACGCAGGTCTCTCAGAGAAGAAACAGAGAATAATGCATCAAAAGCTCTGAGGCCAGATCGCCGAGATTTAATCCCTGATTCTGCACATTTTAGCTATGAAATATCTGGCCAGTTGTTAAATCTGTGTTGCAGCCAGCTCAACTACAAAATGGGAATAATGATGTATAATATCAATGAGGATTAAATATGTGAATACCCAATGAGTTACACTCCTTTATCTTTCCGATAAACTTAATTTCTGGGGAGTTCTGCAGCACTCAATTCTTAGACTTTTCCTGACTACCTTACTCCCTTTGTGATCTCTCTCTCTTGGTCTCTTGGCTTTACATACTACCTATAGTCTGACAACCTTCAACATTTGGGTTCTAGCCTAGACTTATTCCTGCAACTTTAGACTTGCTAGTTACACATATGCATTTCCTTTCGAACATTTAATAGATACCGCAAACCTAAAATCTCTGGATCTTTGCCACTAAACTTGCTATTCCTGGAGTCTTCATCATCTTGTCTCTCAACTAATGGAAGCTCTTCATACTTAGTTGTTCAAGTTTGAAATCTTCAAGAGCATATAAACAGTCACATATAATGGCTACCCAATCAAAACAAACCAGTTCTAGATAAAGATCTAGATTAAGACAACATATCCATGGATATTAACCTGCAGCCGCAAAATTAATAATAAAAACAGAATCACACACAAAAACAAAAGCACAGAATTTAGGTGAGCATCAAAGTATTGACAGGCTTAGCAATTACTGTCCCTTTTCTGCCACCCACTCTCCCTTTCCTAGTGTTACTAAGAAAGTACATAGTACGAGTTTTTCTGTTTGCTTTTTTAATAAATGCCAGCGTTTTTTTTGAACACTACATACTAGTTTAAAAGGCATTTCTCCGTCTCCTGCTCCCCCAATACCCCTCTGAGAAACCAAGTTACAGAATAAATATACACTGTCTCATATCTATGTCTTGAATACCACTCCCTCGAAACCGGGACTGACAGCTGGCTCTTCCGAGGTCGCGGCCCTCCAAGGACACCTATCCTCTAGGGCTCTATGAGGAGGGGGTCAGGGCGTGGAAGGGGCGGTTTTGGATTGCGTGGAGACAGACAGGGAAGCGCATGTGTGGGTGTGTTCAGGCGAGGCAAGGAACCGGCCGCCAGCTACGAGGGAAGAATCTAGACAATTCGCATATGCACAAGAGGAAGGAACAGGTGCTCAGGCAGCCCGCGGGTTACCTGCACATCCCCGGGGAAATAGAGAACGTGATGCTGAGGCGGCGGTTGCACCTCCTCCTTCGCCGGGTCCCCAGAGAGGTCCCGCCGCCCTGGTCCCTCCCCGGCCGTCGCCGCCGCCGCCGCCAGCAGGAGCAACTCGTTGCAGCGCTGAGGGTCGGCTCCCGGCACCGTGGACAGCTGCACGCACTGCTGCCTGCGCGGCTCGGCCGAGGGGGAGCCGGGCGCGCCGCTGCTGCTGTTGCTGCCCAGGTTCATGGTTCCGGCGTGAGAGCTGGACGCGGCGATTCCGATTCCGAGCTGCGGTAGCAGAAGAAGCAGCGGCGGCGACCGCAGGAGCCTGAACCCCAACATGGGTCGCCGCCGCCGTAGCGGTTCGGAGGGTGGGGGGTGGGCCTGAGGGAGGAACTTCAGCCTGGCGCCAACGGTCGGCGGGAGCGGCCTGGGCGGGAGCCGGCCCCGGGGGCAACGACGGCGTCAGAGGCCGACGTCCGCGCGCACCGTGCGTAAGGGAAGGAGGGGTGTGCGCGAAATACGACTCGGGTTCCCGGAGCGGGCCATGGGGGGGCGTGGTCCGAGGAAGGAGGTTTGTGATTGGTGGGTTCTGCCCTGGCCGGGAAGTTTGAACGGAAGTCTGGGGAAAAGCCTGAGAAGAGCAGAGGAGAGGGAATGAGAAGAGCAGAGGAGAGGGAATGAGAAGAGCAGAGGAGAGGGAATGAGCCCAGAATCCCCGGCAAAAGGGGTAACAGTTGTGATACCAGCGCTGCAGCAGGGGCTGCCCGAAGGTCGCTTCCAGTAATGGGGTAGAGAGTTTGGAGTAAACCATGCTCCCCTTTCGCTAGGCTCAATTTTCAGGTGAGGTTTTTCTAGTCCTTTAAGCCTTAAAAGAGACACAACCCCTAAGATATTAGAGCAATTCTGTCCTCTTAGATCTGTGGGAAGTCTGTTGTTCAGTCGCTCAGTCGTGTCCTCTCTTTGCCACCCCATGGACTGCAGCACTCCAGGTTTTCTCATCCTTCACCATCGGCTGGAGTTTGCTCAAACTCCTGTTGATTGAGTTGGTGATGCCTTCCAGTCAGCTCATCTTCTGTCATCCCCTTCTACGTGCTCTGAATGAAGAACAGATTCTCCCTTTTCTCACACCCTCGAGTTTCTTTGTAGGTACACAAAGATTTCTAGGTTCTTGGGAATTTAGATAAGAAGTCTAACGCCTCTCTGATTGGCACCAGGGAGCAGGACACAGGAAAGGCGTTAGTTGTTACACATTTGCCACCAACGAGATTTGCTATTTAGGATTTTCAGCTTGAGCAATAGGAATGTGGTAGGTGTCCAACAACAATCTGTGGCCAGTTGTGTATAAATACATTGCTGTTGTTGTTCAGTCACTAAGTTGTGTCCAACTTTTTGGGAGACCATGGACTATAACCCACCAGCCTCCTGTGCCCATGGGATTTTCCAGACAAGAATCCTGGGGTAGTTTGCCATTTTCTTCTCCAGGTGATCTTCCTGACTCAGGGATTGAGTCTCTTGCATTGACAGGCAGATTCTTTACTCCAGAGCCACCAGGAAAGCTCTATGTATGAATAAGATTTGGCCAAATGTATGCTAAAGACAGAGAAGGGAAAGGAGAGTCCAGTATTCTAAACTCAAGTGCTTGTGAGGCAAGAAACTGTAAAGAGTCTTGTGGGAGAGAATATTAGTGAGAATTTAAAATATTACAGTCAACACTTGAGGCGTACTATAGGCCAGGGATTGAACTAGTCACTTCATATATTAACTGTCCTGAGTCTATATATGTGTGTGCTTGAGCACATGTACTGTTTTCTTTACTCCATATATCAAGTATTAATAGCCTTGAAATAGCACAAATGAGCAAATGATAAAATGTAATTTTCTTGTATATACTTATATATATAAGTGACTTCATAGTGGTGTGATATGCTAGCCTACTCTAAATTATTGAGTTCCACAAGACATCATCATAGTGTGACCAATTAAAATTATTTGTTATTACTAAATAAATCTACCTACTGCTTTCTAAAAATAACTTGTTAAAAAGAAGCAGAGGCTAATTATATAATAATGAATATGTAACCATATTTTGGCCATCAGCATTCATCCTATTCTGTGAATCACATTACTGTCTCTTATTAGGTAGAAGGTTACTGAAATGTAATCCAAAAGCCCAAACAAGTTCATGTACTCCAAATACAGATTTTGATTTTTGTGTGCTTATTTTTAGATTGACCTCTTAATTATCTGTCACTATTGATAGGGATGGGGGGTTCTTATGTTTTAGAAAGAATATTAATTGTAGTAACCATTAAATATACAGTTGTTTCAGTAACTCTAAGGTAATTAAAGTCTATGAGAAATACAAATAAAGATTTAAAGGGTAGAGTAAAGAGACAGACTGAAGTAAGCACAAGGTTCTCCACCCACAGTCAAACATTTACACAACCTACAGGAGCCACTTCTGGAGAAAGTAGTAACTCTCAATTCATATGTCTGTATGAACTGTGTCATTTATGGTAAGTCATTAACATTGTAATCCCTTCTCATAACTCCCACTAATATTACTGTAATACCTGTTTTCTTTCTTCATCCCCTCTTCTTTTCTCCAATTTCGTAAATCACTACTTTTCTAACCAGGTGGCACTAGGGGTAAAGAACCTCTCTGCCATTGCAGGAGACATAAGAGTCTTGAGTTGATTCCTGGGATCCCTGGAAAGAGGAAATGGGAACCCACTTCAGTATTCTTGCCTGGAAAATCTCATGGACAGAGGAGCCTGGCAGGCTACAGTCCATGGGGTCGAAAAGAGTTGGACACATTTGAAGTGACTTAGCACACATGTACTTTTCTAACAGGGCTTCCCAGGTGGCTTGGTAGTCAAGAATCTACCTACCAATGCAGGGGATGTGGTTCAGTCCCTGGGTTGGGAAGATCCCCTGGAGAGGGAAATGGCAACCCATTTCAGTATTCTTGCCTAGGAAATCCTATGGCACAGAGGACCCTGGCAGGCAACAGTCCATGGGATCTCAAAAGAGTTGGTCACAACTTAGTGACTAAACAACAACTTTTCCAACAGTCATGGGCACAGACAGCCTTACTTCCTCTTTATTCTTTCTGAGAACTGCACTTTCCTTTTCTGCTAGAGGTTTTACATATACAAAGCTACTGTAGCCAGTTGTTAGAGTTTACCCCTACTTTCTAACAGATAGAGATCTCCACAAGGATTTTATTATGCTTATAGTGCCCAGAAGGCCATGGCTCATCTCTGGACTCTTGACAGTTCTCAAGCGGTCCTTGGGGATCTCAGAAATTTTGTTTTACAACTTAATATAATAAGTAGAAAAACAAACAAAATTGAAAGGAATCCTAGAAAGACTAATTTACACTGAAAGTGACAACATTAAAAGGTCACAAACTCCAGTGTCTACAGAGGATAGGCCTACATCATAAATAATAAAACTGGCCCTCTGTAAAATAATAGGGTCAACACCGAAATCAGATTGATTACATTCTTTGCAGCCAAAGATGGAGAAGCTCTATACAGTCAGCAAAAACAAGACCAGGAGCTGACTATGGCTCAGATCATAAACTCCTTACTGCTAAATTCAGACTGAAACTGAAGAAAGTAGGAAAAACCACTAGACCGTTCAGGTATGACCTAAATCAAATCCCTTATGACTATACAGTGGAAGTGAGAAATAGATTTAAGGGACTAGATCTGATAGAGAGCTTGATGAACTATGGACAGAGGTTCGTGACACTGTACAGGAGACAGGGATCAAGACCATCCCCATGGAAAAGAAATGCAAAAAGGCAAAATGGGTGTCTGAGGAGGGCTTACAAATAGCTGTGAAAAGAAGAGAAGCAAAAAGCAAAGGAGAAAAGGAAAGATATTCCCATTTGAATGCAGAGTTCCAAAGAATAGCCAGGAGAGATAAGAAAGCCTTCCTCAGCGATCAGTGCAAAGAAATAGAGGAAAACAACAGAATGGGAAAGACTAGAGATCTCTTCAAGAAAATTAGAGATACCAAGGGAACATTTCAGGCAAAGATGGGCTCGATAAAGGACAGAAATGGTATGGACCTAACAGAAGTAGAAGATATTAAGAAGAGGTGGCAAGAATACACAGAAGAACTATACAAAAAAGATCTTCACGACCCAGATCACACAATGGTGTGATCACTCACCTAGAGCCAGACATCCTGGAATGTGAAGTCAAGTGGACCTTAGGAAGCATCACTACGAACAAAGCTAGTGGAGGTGATGGAATTCCAGTTGAGCTATTTCAAATCCTGAAAGATGATGCTGTGAAAGTGCTGCACTCAATATGCCAGCAAATTTGGAAAACTCAGCAGTGGCCACAGGACTGGAAAAGGTCAGTTTTCATTCCAATCCCTAAGAAAGGCAATGCCAAAGAATGCTCAAACTACCACACAATTGCACTCATCTCACACGCTAGTAAAGTAATGCTCAAAATTCTCCAAGCCAGGCTTCAGCAATCCGTGAACCAAGAACTTCCAGATGTTCAAGCTGGTTTTAGAAAAGGCAGAGGAACCAGAGATCAAATTGCCAATATCTGCTGGATCATCAAAAAAGCAAGAGAGTTCCAGAAAAACATCTATTTCTGCTTTATTGACTATGCCAAAGCCTTCGACTGTGTGGATCACAACAAACTGTGGAAAATTCTGAAAGAGCTGGGAATACCAGACCACCTGACCTGTCTCTTGAGAAACCTGTATGCAGGTCAAGAAGCAACAGTTAGAACTGGACATGGAACAACAGATTGGTTCCAAATAGGAAAAGGAGTACATCAAGGCTGTATATTGTCACCCTGCTTATTTCACTTGTATGCAGAGTACATCATGAGAAATGCTGGGCTGGAAGAAGCACAAGCTGGAATCAAGATTGCTGGGAGAAATATCAATAACCTCAGATATGCAGATGACACCACCCTTATGGCATAGAGTGAAGAGGAACTGAAAAGCCTCTTGATGAAAGAGGAGAGTGAAAAAGTTGGCTTAAAGGTCAACATTCAGAAAACTAAGATCGTGGCATCTGGTCCCATCACCTCATGGGAAATAGATGGGGAGACAGTGGAGACAGTGTCAGACTTTATTTTTTGGGGCTCCAAAATCACTGCAGATGGTGACTGCAGCCATGAAATTAAAGGACGCTTACTCCTTGGAAGGAAAGTTATGACCAACCTAGATAGCATATTAAAAAGCAGAGACATTGCTTTGCCAGCAAAGGTCCGTCTGGTCAAGGCTATGGTTTTTCCAGTGGTCATGTATGGATGTGAGAGTTGGACTGTGAAGAAAGCTGAGCACTGAAAAATTGATGC